GGTCCAATCATCATCCCAGAAATACATTCCATACCCACCTAATCACATCAACATGTTATCACATAAGCATGTAACGTTACATAAGTCTCTATCAAACGAGACGAACCCATTGTGCATACTAATTCACTTCCACGTACCCCAAAGTATTCAAACCCAGTACGCTCTGATACCAATTTGTAACGCCCTCCAAAATACCCATTATATATATATCATTGACATGCATTATTTAAAGAAAACACTTTAATAATTCAATTATAATATCCATCAGAGTCTTACTAAACAAAAGCATTACATGTAACATCAAAAGTAAATGCCCTACCGGCTTACATCTTTCCAAGGCAACACTTGGACACAAAGTATGAGTTCTAACTCAAATATAAATAAAGCCCTAGGCTTGAGTGTTTACATTGTACCAACAATGAAAAACAAATAACAAAAATAGTAAATCAAAATCCAAGTCCTTCAAGCTAAAGTCCTTGGAGGTAGCTATCACCAGAACCTGAAATGATGTTCCCATAAAGGGTGAGCCACAGCCCAGATAGAAATATACTAAACCACATATAAGCAATGAATAAGTAATAGCATTCAACAGATGGTAACCAAGATAATCAATTACTTCATTTACCGTCTCATGACACTATTGTCTAAGACACGTTTACTTTCCAATTTTATCAACATGACTCAAACCTGGCCAAACTTACAACAGTGATTACATAATCATATTCATATCCTTCCAATATCAACGAACAAATGAGACTCCAAGCTCAAATCAAAACACTTCATACTTCCAGATTGATACACATTTTAGTGCTGTATCAATAAAACACTTCTATATAAATAGCACACATAAAAGTGACGCTAATGGAGTCCATCCCATATCTCCTCCCAAACAAAATCCGGTTTAGAGTCCATCCCCTATCTTTCCCTAAACCGTGGAGTAATCCCCTATCTCCTCCACACAAAACAATGTATGCAAATGCAATGCTCAATCAATACACGTATTTTCTGTATCAATGCAATAGTCAAAAATTAATGACTTAACCAATGTGATTAGTTTCAGTTATTCCTAATCCACATGCAATGTCTACAACAATCACGACTATCCTCCACCGATAGCCCAAAACAGTTATTCTTAAACTGAAAATAACTATGTCAACAATTCAATAGACAAATGATTCAAATTATCCAACTACGCCATTTAAACAATGAATTCCCCAATTCCATGAATTTAACCATCTTTTCCCAATTCCATGAATTAATTATACAAATTAATTTAATAATACAACTAGGGTTTTTCCCAAAATTTACCAAAGTATCCCCAACATATCGAAATACCAAAACTTAGAACAAAACTATAAAATGGAGTAGGAAATCCCTACCTCGAAGAAAATAACCCAAATGGTGAAGACAGAGATGAGTGCCAAATACCAATGTGCTCCAAATCGTCAAATGTTCAGATTAAATGAAAGCCCTCGACTCCCTCTATGTTTTTAATAAAACAACTAGGGTAGAAACACCTCTAAATAGATCAAATTAAGAAAGAAGGTGAGTAGGGAGAGAGAGAAGTCGGACCTAGGGTTTGGAATCAAAAGAAGATGAAAAAGACTGATCAAAACTCGCTGCTGTGTATATAAACTGGACAGGCTCGCTCGAGCGAAAACTTGGTCGCTCGAGCGACCAGACACAGAGAAGATACGCTCGAGCCAAGGAAGCCTTGCTCGAGCCAACAACCCAAAAGCTCGCTCGAGCGAAAGAAAACTCGATCGAGCGAAGAACTCAAACCCTCAGGTCTGAAACCAGAAACACGCTCGAGCGAATGAACTATCGCTCGAGCGAAGAACGAACTAACTCGCTCGAGCGAAGAAAAGCTCGCTCGAGTCAAGAATGCACAGTTACAGGTCCAAATCAGACGCAAACTCTCGCTCGAGCTACCAACCCGGCTCGAGCGAAGAACAAAAAAAAACATCTCGCTCGAGCGACAAACTCCTCGCTCGAGCGAAGATCCAAAATTCTGGACAGCAAACACTTGGTTTCTAAACCCAACCAACCTGAAACAAACCTGCGCAATACATCCTATAAGTCCAAATGAGAAAATAAGGGACAACTACGACAATTATACAATGACAGAATCTACGGAACCTAAGTCCGGATACAATAATCAAATGGGAGAAGACCGGGGTCGCTATAGCCATTGTAATCTGAAATATAAAATATTTAATGAGTTTAAGATTACTCACTGAGATTTGAAGTTCTTGTAAACAAGGGGAGTTCACAATCAAACTGAACTTGTGAATTGGTCCATCATGAAGAAAAAGAAACCGAGTAATGAACTTTGCAAGGCTGTCCTTGACAGCTCCTTTGTCATTACAAAGCGTTGCACAATTGTCATCAAATACAAGTTGAGTAAGGTTAGCCCATTTATACCTCCATTTACTCGATAAACTGCATGTTCTTACTGCATCCCTTGTCGGAAGCTTTGTTAGGATGGTTTCTATAATACTTTGAGGTAGATCACTAATCAAATCTTGCCCTAAAACATTATCCATGTGCAGTTTTCAGTTGAATTACCTACAGGCACAGAAGAAAACAATACATTAACAGTCTTTCGGATTTCACAACAATTAAATATGAACCAAAGCGATGTGTGGCTATATTTGTTAGTATTTCTCTTGGTTGATATATTTGTTAGTATTTTTATCTAATATGACAGTATATTTGTTCCAATAAAAAGACTTGAGTCACATTTTATATTAAATTTGACATAAAATTTAACAAAGTTATAATTAAGTAATGGATTCAACTATTAAATGGAATTGAAATTTTAAAAGATCTAGCCAAATAGAACAAATTTTCAAACACCACAAAAATAGAAATATATAAAAAAAAAATTATATTTAACTATTATTTTGACACAACAGAAATATATAGAACAACATACTGATAATCTGAAAATCTACAATACAAACCAATCAAACAAACAAATAGATCTGAAAAGATGGAATAAATATCACCTCCATATGCCCAAAAAAAGCCCAAATCAATAAATGAAATCAACAAAAAACGAATTAGAAAATAGTATGATATTTGGAATCAAAACCAAGGGTTGATTTCAACAAAACTCAGAATCTTAGAGTAGAAGAATTGAAGAAGAGAAGAAAAGAAGGGAATAATATACCTCAGTCGTCACCGTCGCCGTCGCTTGTCGCTCGCTGCCGGTCGAAGGATGGAGACATATTCCCTAAATCGAGAGGGGGGGTTGGCTGGAAGGGCATATTCCCTAAATCGATATGTATATCTATATATAACAAAACATAGGGTTTAGGGTTTCAAATCTTACTTTTTGGTGGAGATCAATGGAAAACAGGGACGATCGCCGGCAATCTTCGATGTGTGGAACAGTTCTTCGTCGTTCAGCAGTGAGAGAAGAGGAGAAGAGGAGAGCATCGTTTGAGAGAAGGGTTAGGTCTGAAATCAGAACTGTGTTTATATAGTGGCATTTTCGTGATTTCTTAAGTTTTGAAGGGGCATTTGAGTCATTTTGCCCCTCCAAAAATAGCTGCGCGCTTAAGCTGTAAAATTAAGCACCCTTGGAGCAACTTTTACATTTAAGCCGAAAATGACTTAAATTAAGCCATAATCTCTGCCTTATAGGCCCTGTTTGGTAGAGCTGTGGGAAAGTACTTATAGCTTATACCTAAATAGCTTATAGCTTATAACTATGAAGATAAGTTGATTTCTGACTTATAAATTAAGCATCTCCAGCCCCACTCAAAGAATAAGCTGATTTCTGACTTCCAAAAAGCTATAAGTTATAAGCTATAAGCTAAACCAAACACATCAAAATAGCTTAAATTAAGCTGAAAGCTGAAATAAGCTGCTTTTAAGTTCTGCCAAACAGGCACATAAGTTTTACCAAACACACTAATATAGCTTAATTTAAGTTAAAAACTTATTTAAGTTAATTTTTTTTTTTTACCAAACACCCCATTAATGAGTTCCACCTCACCAGCTCAATCTTTCCTCTAAATCTCCAAACAAACATGGCAAAAAGAAAGCATTACATGAAATTAGGGATTGTTTGGGATGATCTAAATAAGCCTCCGTTTGGGAAGTGGATTGGTTTTTTGGCTTTTTGACTATTTTAGCCTGGGCTATTTTAGCCTGGTTTGGGAAGGACTTTTTGGCTTTTTGGCTTTTTTTGTGAGAGAGGATTGTAATGATTATGGGTTGGATTTGATGTTTTGTTTTTTGTGGCTAAAATAGCCTATTTTGTTTTTTGTGGCTATTTTAGCCAAAAAAGCCTGACTTTTTTCTTCCCAAACGGAGCTTAAGTATATTTTTTAACTTTTTACAAAAAAACGTGAAATATGGGTTGAATTTGAAGTGATGTAATAAAAATATAATGTGATTTAAATGAAATGATGTAATTTAAATAAAATAGTGACTTTTTAATTTTTTTATATTATGCCAAACTAGGCCAAAGTTAATTAGCCAATTCAATTTGATCCCTATAAACAATCTTTTAGACGAAAACATAAGACTATCTCTGACGGTGAATCAAATTTTTCACCAAATTTGAGTTAAAAAAAAGTTAATTTTCTCAATTTTATATTTCTTCCTCCAATCATGCATCAAAAGGGAAGGGTAGATCGGTAAGCAATTTTTTTTATCTGTTTGAATCTTTTTGACCGGTTTGAACCTACCTATTTAAAAGGGAACTGGTCGACCAGTTGGTCAACTGACGACCGGTCAATTGGTCTCCTCCAACGATCACATACAATACAATAGTGAAATTTGTACCCTATTCTCATTTTAATAAATTTTTTGATGAAATTCTCATTTTAATACCAATTTATTGAAACTATTGAAACACCTAAAAAAAATAATTTTTTCACCAAAATTTAAATCTGATTCCAGGTTTGGTTAAGCATGGGTGATGCTCTAACTTGTGATATTCTTTGATTATGAGCTCAAACACTCCTTTGTCCTAATTTTGCAGTTCTCACACACTCTCTCTCTCTCTCGTTTGAAGCTTGATGTGAGAAAATGGATCATGAAAATCGATTTATCATTACTCGTTAACGATAGATCTAACATATGAGATGTCACGCTTCAATCAGGTAGATCTATCATTTTTCACACACACACACACACAGATCATGAAGTCTATGGGTTTGATTCTTCATCATCTTCATATTTTTTTTTTTTTTTTTTTGCCGATTTGAGATCTGAAGCTTCGTTCACAACAGATCTATCTTTTCCTTTATTTTTTTTTTTTTTTTTTTTGTAGATGTGGTGCATTTCTCACTCTCTCCGCCTCATATGTATGTGTATCTATAGGTCTACGAAGAAAACAGTGATTAGTTCTCGTTTTTGTTCAAATTATCAATTTTATTTGAAAGGCAGGGTTGGTCTTCTGTTTTGGTTGTTTTGTTTCTAGATCTGAGCACGACTTCATTACTTTTCTGAGGTTTGTTTTTGTTTTCTTACTCTTGTTTTTTTACATCGATTACCGATTCGAATTTAGACTCATCAAAGTTCTACTTCTCTCGAAGATCACTGCTTGATTTTTTTACTAATTTTAAGTGTTTCAAATTGATCTTATCGTTTCATCGTCTTGTCTGATTCAGATGGCTTCGATGATGATCTCTCTTGCCTCTGCATCTGCCTCAGCTTCAGCAAGATAATCGCAAGGTACCATTAACCTCTGCTCCACAAGTGCTTGCACGGCTGGTACAATCAAACCTCTGCTCCTTCACATCTCACATATACATACATTCATATATCTATATGACTTTTTGTGCTTGCTTTTTAACCATTATTATTGATATTCAATTTAATCATTGGAATAATCTACACGTTGTGTTTTGCTTGAATGTTTAGTATTTGCTTATAATTTCTAGCTTTATATGGCACCCAAAAAAAATATTAGTTTGTCTGATTTAATGTCTAGCAGTAGTGGTTCCTTGTGCGATATATTACTCAGTTTCTTCTTTGTTCAATATTTTATTGACTTCAAGTTTGAATTCTTCTCATGTCATTGCCATAAAGGTCTTTACAGAGGTTTTATTTGATGTACTGCCTTATCCCCATCATCCAACTGAATGATTTTTCTATTCTTTTACTGACAACCATGATCAGATTGTGGTATCCTTTCATTCTTTCATATTCTCTATATTCAATTAGGATTTTTTTTTTTGGCAGTTGACTGGTAAGATCCAGTGAAGGATTCAACCATGATCAGATTGCTTAGAAGGTTCAATTTCTCACTTTTCTCTCTTCTGATTTATATATTTATGAAATTTTGCGTACCAATAACCAAGTCAGTGATGAATATGAGCGCAATCCAGTACCCTTATTCCCCGCACGCTTGTTAGCTGGGACCCTGATCCGCATAGACCAATAGATTGAGACAAAGCGGTCTTCTCTGCTCACAAAGCAGAATTCGCTATTGGCAAGATGATATGCTACTCTCTACTCCAAAGGAAGTTCTAATTTTGTGCTTTAATTTGAATTGAGCAGTCTTTGGGTATCAAGGGTAAGATGTTTGCTATGAAACACTATGAGTTTCCTTATTGAATCATGAGATGTGAGATTTGATTTCTTTGGCTGATTAGAGCCGGTTCAGAGTGTTTGATTGTCACTTGCATTGTTATTCAATTTGCATTTCTATGACTTTGATCTGTTTTACCTTGGGAAGATCTCAGAATGGATCTCCTTTTTTCCTTCATTTCAAGTTTTTACTTTTTATTCCATTTGCTGAGCACTCGTGTTGCTTATACACTTGATGGTAGGTGCATCATCTTAGACTCATTCCTTTTCATGTTGTGCATGACATGGCGACATCACACTTTTTGAAGTGTTTGTCAACATTGCTGTTGGACTAAATGAATCTGTATCTGTTTGTTTTGATGAAAAAAGCTCCTAGAAAGTTTTTGCAAACAAATCAACTTTTAAGTTCCCATTTGGTTCTTGGAAAGAATTAGGGGAAGGAAAGGACAGTAAAGAGGCTTAAAAATTGAAATGGTTCATTTTAAATGTTCTCTCTCTCTCTCTCTCTCTCTCTCTCTCTCTCTTTCTTCATCATCTTTATGTATTAGGATGCTTTATCAGAAGGAAACCATTTAGTGGTAGAGAATATTTCTTTCTTTTAGGAATTCTTTGTTCTCACAGTTTAGGAATATTTCTTTCTTTTACTCAGTAATCTCATTCTCCTTGGCCGCAGCACAGTTTAGGAATATTTCTTTCTTTTAGGAATACCAAAGTCCATGTAAAGACACTGAAATATTAAGTGGAACGGAAAGGGGAAAAAAAAGACTAGATGTTACATTTGCTAGGTTAGTTAAATTTTTGCTCTGTGCTTTTATATTTAAGTCTCTGATACTATCTTATCCGTGGAACTTGTTGCAGATTGTTTTGTACACGGAGTTATATGTAAGTGAAACATTGATTTTGACTTCCTTAGTCACTTGGACCATACTTATTTCCAAAGCATTTTTCTAAAATTTATTTTCTGCGAGTGCAGTCATATTGTGTGGAATTTATTATTTTGGAAGGGGATAATCTCACCAGGCTGTTCCCTGGTACATCCTTGAACTAGACTTGTTTGCAACTTGACTCTATGTTCTTCCAACTATTTGGCTTTGGGATCTCCGTGTCATATCTTACCTTTCAGGTGTTTCAGAGTATCTTTTATTTCTGTCAAGTGCCTCCACTGTGTTAATATTCTTCTAAATATAATTATATGATATGAATTTTCTAAACATTTGATATTCATCTTGCAGCCGGAGGGGTCATTGCAACATTTGTGATAGTTCTTCGTGTGATTTTTCTTGGTACCGTGGATGGAATCGGACAAGGTTCTGAAAAGCGGTTGCGGTCGTCGTAACGGTGGCGGTGACGCGGTTGCGGTTGCGGGGTGTAAAGGCCGTAGTGTAACGGTTGCGGTAACCGGAACCATGATTTTTTTTATTTTTCGCACAATTTGAAAAAAACTTACCGATACGCATATTTTTTTCCATGATCATATTTATTTGGTTAAAAATAAATATTGATCAATTTTTGTAAATTTTTAAGTATGATCCAATATATTTCATATTTTTAAATCACTATAAACTGAGTTTTTTACATTTTATTTTAATAATTAATGACTTTATATTTTACAAAAAATCAATCACTAACTATTATATATATATATATATACATATTTTAACCAAGCCAAATAGATAATGACCACACTTCTTATTATTATTATTATTTTCAAACAATATATAGATATACACACACAAACAAAATGGTTTAGTGATAGCAGCTTAATCTTCCCTCTTCTCTCTCTCTCTCTCTCTATATATATATCTCTTGCTCCTCCATTTTCTCTCTTTATCTTCCCTCTTCTCTCTATCCTTCTTCCCCCACTTTCAGCTTTTTTTTGTGTGTTTTTTCGAAAGAAATAGTTTGGAATTGTTACATAACGGTGCATAACAGGCTGTTACGGCACCGTTATGACCGCTACGGCAGCCGCTACAGCCTACACACCTGTGAATCTCATTCACACTGCAAAAGCAGCCGTAACGGGTGGCAGTAACCGCCAAAACCGTTACGTAACGGCGTTACATAATGGTTGCGGCCGCTTTTTAAAACCTTGGAATCGGATTTCATCAAACTGGTCCAGTAGTGAGCTGGAGCCGCATTCCTTTCGCCATTGGTGTGTATGGGTTTTGCTATTCTGGGCATTCTGTGTTCCCAAATATTTACCAATTCATGGCTGATAAAAGACAATTTACCAAGGCACTAACAGTATGGTATGATAACTGTTATTCTGATGCAACATGAGCTTTTGACTTGCACCTCTTTTAAATACCTTCCCTTTCTTAATGTGCAGCTTTATTTTATGTGTTATAATATATGGGGGTGTTGCAATCATGGGATTTCTCATGTTTGGTCAAGCCACAATCCCAAATAAATTTGAATATGCCACCGGATAGTATTACCTTCAAAGGTGCATTGTGGACAACAGTAAGTATCAGATTCCACATCCTCCTTGATCTCTTATTATCTCATGTATGAGCACTTGATTTTTTTTTTTTTCCGTCCTTTCAATCATTGATGTCTAACTCGGCAGTTTTGTTTTTGTTCCTTTAATTTTTTGTTAAAATTTTGTTTTGCAGGTTATCAACCCATTCACTAAATATCCTTTGACTAAATTATTAAGTTATGAAAATAGGATATTAGATGTAATTTGTGACGTTGTCTGCAAAATTATGAAGTAAATATCCATATTTGATTCCTTAACACTGCGCGTATGCCCCGTTGATGAACCCGTTGACCAGAAGTATCAAGGAACTGCTGCCTGTCAGAATCTCTAGTAGTTTCTGGTGTTTCATTCTGCTGAGGACAACACTTGTCATTTCTTCTGTTATTGTTGCATTTCTCGTTCCTTTCTTCGGTACGCGATGTTTTTACCATTCATTTCCATGTCATATCACTGGCATGTATAATCAAATCATCACCTGCAATCTTAATGTTTGATTCTGTACTTGACATGCACTATATATGTCATTTCTTGGCATTATTTAAGAGCAGTTTGCCTATAGGAAGGTTTTCAAAATGCATTCACCTTAAAATGCATTTTGATTTGTAGTTGCAGTATCAGTAGGCATTCACCTCAAAATGCATTTTTTTTTCTCTTCAAGAATTTAGTTATGTTCCTCCTTTAGGACCACATATTGAAAGTAACAAGATATTGGAATTTAAGGATAATGATCTATGTTTTTGTATTTTAGGCACTGAGCCGGAAAAGCCAAAGATTCATGATTTATGTTCATTCGAAAGGCATGATAGTGGACGTCGAGGACGTAATTATAGGGTCTGCAAACGTCAATCAGCGTTCAATGGAGGGCTCCGGAGACACTGAGATTGCAATGGGAGCCTACCAACCTCATCATACTTGGGCAAGAAAACTATCCAATCCACAGAGACAGGTAACCTTTAATGAGATATTTATATTGAATTTTTCACATTTATTTTAGAATCTCTTATTTATGGAAACAAAATGAATCAAAGTTTTTGTGTGCGCTGTCACGCCCTCAAAATAAACCCATTGTATATATATCATTGACATGCATTATTTAAAGAAAACAATTTATTAATTCATTCATCAGAGTATTACCAAATAAAAGCATTACATGTAACATCGAATTAAATGCCCTACGGGCCAACATCTTTCCAAGCCAACACTTGGATACAAAAAAAAATATGAGTTCTAACTCAATACAAGTAAAGCCCTAGGCTTGAATGTTTACATGTCCTAACAAATAGAAACAATTAACTAAAGATAGTCTTCTTCAAATCCAAAAGCCAAATCCTCCCAAGCTAAGTCCTTGGAGGTAGCTTATCACCTGAACCTGAAAATGATGTTCCCATAAAGGGTGAGCCACAGCCCAGTAGAAAAATACTAAACCAAATATAAGCATTGAATAAAGCTATAGCATTCAATAGATGGTTAACCAAGTTAATCAATTATATCATTAAACTGTCTCATGACACTAATGTCTAAGACACATTTTACTTTCCAACATTATCAATATGGCTCAGAACCTGGCCAAACTTACAACAGTGAACTATATATATCATATTCACATTCTTCCAATGTCAACAAACAAATGAGACTCAGACTCAAATCAAAACACTTCATACTTCCAGTTTGATACACATTTTAGTGCTGTATCAATAAAAACACTTCAATATAAATAAGCACACATAAAAGTGATGCTAATGGAGTCCATCCCCTATCTCCTCCCAAACAAAATCCGGTTCAGAGGTCCATCCTCTATCTTCCCCTAAACTGTGGAGTACATCCCCTATCTCCTCCCACACAATATGCAAATGCAATGCTCAATCAATACACGTATTTTCAGTATTAATTCAATAGTCAAAATTAATGACTTAACCAATGTGATTAGTTTCAGTTATTCCTAATCCACATGCAATGTCTACAACAATCACGACTATCCTCCACCGATAGCCCAAAACAGTTATTTCTAGACTGGAAATAAATA